TGATGTCCTTCTACGAGCATTGATACGACGCGCGTACAGTCGTGGACCACGTAACGAGACATTGTCCATAGATGTTTCAGGTCCGTCTGTTAGCGACCTTACGACCCACGTCAGGCCCCGCCTCCCTTCACCACTAGTCTGTTGTCACCTTCTGAAACATAGTGACTTGTTTACTCCTTCTCAACAAAGTGGCCTGTGCCTCATGAAATCTGTACACATATATGATAGATATATGCATATATTATATACATATAGAGAGAAATCTATAGATCGTGTCTATACAGTACGTGGTCAGAAGAAAAAAAAAAAAGATAATGACATTTTATTCCTTGGTGGTTATTTTTCTAACTGCGTGAAGGTCGGAGAGGTGTCTTAGTCAGTGGTGAGTGGCGTGACTCCTTTTTTTTTTTTTTTTTTTTTCCACCCTCTGATTTGTACATTCTGAGAAAATCCCGAGTAACATTCCCTGTCTGAAAATAAAGGACAGCTCAAAAGAACACAAGAGCTTTAGTGGCGTTTATGGAAAGTTGTATATCCAAATATATTTAGAGGTTTAGAGACATTGTTACATTCCTTTGTAAATGTAAAAACAGCTCAGTTGACGCGACCACCTGTCCTGTGGTGACAACTGCAAACAAACAAAAAAGGTGAATTTTTACAGCTTCCATAAAAGAGCCGTGGGATCTTTGTTCCTACTGCACTCAGCAGGCAGATACTTGCACTCGTGAGTGAGGACTATCAGTGCGGACATTCAAACGTGGGTCGGCGCGACTGTCAGAATTCACTGCTTTTGCGTGGTTTTTTTTCTCTTTTTTTTTTTGTCGTCGTCTTGTATACCGAAGTAGTGACTTGTGTGTGACCGTGACAGATGAATAATTTAAAAAAAAGAAAACACACACAAATTGTTACAGTTTAGTGCAAGACTGAATTAGACTGTTACTATGGACCATCCAATCACGGTGCCTGTACGTCTCATGTTGAATGTTGTATATAAACGTGTTTCCCTCCCTGACGTCGTCCATCGACTTCGGGGATCGTTGCGTTTTTTATTTTATTTCAGGTCTCTGCTTCCACCTTTAAAAAGTCACATTTCCGTTCACTGTCCAAAAACTTAGCAGAATGTGTGAAGCTTTTGTGTTTGCACAGCAGATTAAAGGATTAAAAAAAACAGCCCTCAGTTGGAGAAGGGACGACACAGACAAGACACACGAGCGAAAATCCTTTCACTTCAGCGTCAGGATGGTGCAGTAAAAATCCTCCATTTTCAGGTCCTTATCTACTAAATACTTGAAGTAGGCGCGAGGGGCGGGTGGGGAATTCTCCTACCGCGACAGAGTATATATATGTTGGGAAACACGAGACATTTCAGTTGTGCCCGTGCATGCTGGGCTTGACGCCATGTGCCAACTGTTAATGGGTGACTTCAGGATTCTCTATGCAGAGCGACGTCTCAGCTGCGGGGCTAAATAACAAAATCTATCGGAAACGGGGCGCAGCAGCAGCAGAGGCTGGTTTCCTGGACCTAGATTTAGACTAATGCTGGTGAGGAGAGGCCGATGTTTGCACTCCAGGTGCAAGGGTGGAGGCAAAGACGTCAGGTCTGGAAGCAGCAATATGAACGGTACTCAAAATGACCAAAAGGCCTCTCCGTATTGACCAGAGATTCTCCAAAGGCCTTGGAAGAAAGGACGGAAGTCGAACCTAAAAATTAACTTTATTGATGTAAACTGGTTTTTCTTTTACTGTGTGTAGAGACAAAAAAAAGAAAAGAAAATAACTTTAAATTTAACAAATCACTGTGACCAACGCCAGAAACATTTTTTGTTTGACGGAACAAATATTGTGTTTACTTTTTTTATTACGTCATTTTTGTATTTTCAGTTTTAGCTTTATTTATTGAATATGCCAGAGTTTTTCCGACTGTACTATTTGTAAAAGTAAATGTTCGATCTGTACAGAAAAGACTTAGGAACAAATTAAACGTGAGTGTCCAGCATGCTGAATGACTTCATGTGTGAACGTGCGCTAAACTCCCACGATGCATCATTCCTCATTCAATAATTGCATCTGCATCGTGCATAGTGACGGTGTGATGTCGTGTTTGAGAGTCACGTGTGTGTGTGTGTGTGTCTCACATACTGTGTCCCCCTTGTAGACAGCCTGTGCAGTTTTGTGAGAGTGCAGCATGTTTTTTGGGTTTGCTGGTATAAATGTAACCAGAAAACAGATACACAATTGGTTATGTGAGTGCGTGCGTGCATATCAGAGTGCGTGCTTGTGAGTTTGCAGCTGTTCCTGGGTGTGAATGCGTGTCACACAAGAGAGAAATCTATTTAAAAAAAAAAAAAAAAGAAGAAGTTTAACAGAAGAAGTCCCTAGAGAAAAAGGAGAGTCTGGGTAAAAGTCTTGAATGAAGCATGGATACACTGTAATGTTTTCTGTTTTTTTTATTTTCAAACATAGGAGGCTGTCCTCGGTGACCCAGTTTGCTATTGTATGTGCTGTATCAGAATATTACTATTGAGTGTTGGCCAGCTTGTTTATATCCATCAAATAAAGGTGACTTTCTTTCTGTCTCTTTTTGTCTTTTTATCCAAAAAAATAATAATTTTTTTGTTGAATATTAAATGTGAAAGTCATTTTTAATTTTCATATTCCGCTTTTAATACACACTGAACATGCAGTTACACTCAATCCCCTGCAAGTGGTGCTATGTGTTCCTTAGAAACCAGACATGCTGTTACAGCATCATTGCTTTTTTTTTGTTGAATATCAAATGTGAAAGTCATTTTAATTTTCATACTCGTTTTTATACATATCAAACATGCAGTTACACTCACTGCACTTGGTGCTATGCGTTTCCTAGGAACCAGACATGCTGTTACAGCATCATTGATTTCAAACGTGAACCATATTCTGTCAAAAATAAATAAATGGTACGTTACACCAGCACACCCAAACAGATAGCTGCTTCTGACTAAGAATGTCTTATGTTGAACCCTAGCGGTGGCGAAATGAACTGAATGATTGCACCTTGCAACAGACTAAGTCGACTCTGTTATCACATCAGAACGTCCTGATCAATTATCAAATTAAAAAAACATCCTCTTAGTAACCCATGTAGTAAAACAACAACAACAACAACAACAACAACAACAACAACAACAAGCAAAGTCAACAAAAACATTCGCATTTTCCAAGCCAGGTCCACAAACCACCAAAGTCCATAAACATCATGTGTTGCACCAACTTTTGACCCTGGTGAACAACTGTTACTCCAACATGTTGAGCTAAGTACCACACGAACGCACATCGGGAGAACGTTAAACTAACACAGGAACCAGAGCAGTAATATATAAAAGTACTTCTTACCGTTGTCTTCTGCGTGACGTCGACCTGGACTTTACTGCAGTATTCACATAATCCGAGATTAATGTGTCTTTATTTCAGTTGACGCCAAGTTGAGTTTGACAGTTGAGTTCCTCGTGTTTCCTGATCTCCCGCAAACGTCTAAAATATTTTAAAAAAAAACATAAAAAAACAAGCTCAAAAACTGCGACAAACCCGACAGGTTTAGTTATTAACTTGACATTTTTCCTCGGTATCTCCTATTTTAATTTATAGACAAACGTGGAAAAAAAAGTCGCTGATAAAAAGCCGGCTTGGCAACAGTTGTTACTAATTAGCAGGTGTTGGCTAACTGTGTACCAACCGGAAGTAGCCGAACATTTTTAAATCCACACACAATTTCACGGAAAGAACTTGAACGCAGAATGTTGTACGAGTACTTAATTGAATGTAAACTATTTTAAGTACTGTCTGCGTTTTAACGTCATATATGGTTAATTAACGTAAACACATTTTACACTAATAACGTCTTAAAAATTATTTATTTTTACACAAACTTTAGCTTTGTGGGTTTTGTTTGTTTGTTTTGTGTCTTTATTTTTGTTATTTTTTAACTGGATTTATTCTTATTTACAAAAGTACACATTTTAATAAAAAATGTCACAAATATGTTTCCACAAAGGTCATTTCTGTTTGAAAGTTCGTAGGAAATCAAAAATAAATAGCAACTCTCAATATTCATTGAGCTAACGGGCGCCACCGTGCTGGTGATTACAGTATAACATTTCAAACAATTTAACAAAGCACATGATTTTCAGTCAGTATCATTTAAAATTGTTTAAAATTCCCACTCAAGGCAAAAATTGACTTTTTTTGATCCACCTGTTGAGAACGTTTTCAATGTCTTATACCACACATGTTCTGCTAGTTTTAACGTCCTTTCACAAAACTGTTAAACAAACGCTCCCCCTTGTCAGAGAACCAGTAGCCTGCCATGGCTGCCACTGCTCCCATGAACACAGAGGGGCAGACCTTTGTCCTGGAAACCTGCAGGAGGAATAAAACTAGACTTTTAGCCAAACCAAACCAGGAGGACGAACTGTACAAGTGTTCAAAGAGGAGACTCACCGGGAAGTTGCTTCCTCACACAAGCGCCACCTTTGCGGAAGAATCCGTCGGCGCAGTCACAGTGGAACGAGCCCTCAGTGTTGATACAGATCTCATCCAGACTGTGGCAGGCAAGAACTCTGTCACTGCATTCATCCACATCTGAGCAAAAGACAGAAATCACACATCACCTTAGTGGAGAAATACAGTTGTATAAGCTCCTCAAAAACCGATGCAAAAAAAAACTTTATATATTTTTAAATCTACCTAAACATTTGGAGCCTGTCAGTCTGTAGCCGAGGGCACATTTCCTGCAGCGTGCTGGCCCACTACCCATACAGCCCACACAGGCTGGGTCACAGTCTGAGGACAAAAAAAGTGAAGGCAATTCATGGATAATAAAGAATAACTGGAATGTTGTCAATTCTTATATATGATACAGAGAATAATTAGGTTGCTTTATCTTTCAATTCAAATTAAATCATATTCAAAAAAACAAAACACAAACACACAATAAAGAGTGACAGCCATACAGTAATATTTGAATGTGAAGATTCAAGAGTAGACATAACTAAGTAAGTTTGTTTTGTTTTTTTTAAATCCTGAGTTCAACAAAATAAAGTAACAGTTGCAGTGTCAATCATATAATCTGAAGAATAAGGCAGTTTAAAGTAAGGACGCCTTAAAATTCTGCTGCATTTCTCTGTAGGTTTTTAATGTAGTAGTCAAACCCTCCAGTCTGTTGTGAACCACTGACCTCTGCACTCAAAGGAACCCTCTTTGTTGAAACAGTAGCTGCCGGGAGGACAGTTACTCAGCTCGGTTCCACATTCGTCAATATCTATCAAACAGATCACAAAAAGACAAATCAACAATAACACAACATCTTTGATGTTGTTCATATAATAAAGAATTTTATTTATTTATTTTTTATTTTTTACATGCTTTATGTTTTACCAACACAGGTGTTACTGTGGAGCGTCCATCCTGGGTGGCATGCCTCACAGTGGTTATTTTCTGGACCTGAACATTTACTACAGCTGCTCGGACAGCTGTGAACTTCAACCACCACCAGAAAGAACAGCAACACAGTCTGCTGTAGAGTCCTGTAGAACGTCCATAGTCCTATCTGTCCCATCTGATTTAGAACACAAAGCAACACTGTAAAAAAAAGTTTGGTAAATGTTTGGACAAAATACATAGATGCTGTAATGACATTATAAAGATACGAGAACAACGTAGTATTATTGTGAGTTTAGACTAAAAAAATTTAAATATTTTTTATTCATATACCTTCTAGCACTTAAAAAACTATTATTTCGTAATATTTTTTATTATTTTATTGTTTTTATTTAATATTACTAATGAGGTTTTATTTTAATCCTGATTCAACGAGCTAAAGCGATGTTAATAACAATAATTATATATTTTCTTACCTTTAAAAATGTGTTGAACAATTTTAATAAAAAAAGAAGATTAATGTTTATAGTGGAAACCGGATGTAGTTGACATGGCATATTCGCTAGTTCCGGTTAGTTTGTTTTAGTAAGATCGACATTACAGTGTCAGTGTCAAACGGAGTTTGACTGTAGAGTTTTCAAGATTTTTATCCTTTAAAGTTTCTACACTTGCTACCACATTTTGGTAAATTACATTAAAATTGCGCTACAATTATAAATGAGGAAAACTACTTTTAGGTTCTTTATTTACCCCTTTTTTTACCTTTTGCGACTCCTGATCAAAGCGAACTCTCTCTCCCAACAGAGACGCACTTTGCGGTTGTTTACAGATTAACGCACAACGTCCCGGACGGGCGGAGATTACCCTGACGTCCCAGTTCCTCCCGACTTCTACGTGATGTCATATGTAATAAGCGCTTCTGCCACTGTCCTGAAACTGACACATGGACTACAGACCAATCACAACCAGGGATCTCACAGGCTAAAATTAGCAACTTTATTTATAGAAAATCTTTTTTTGTAGACAACTATAGGCATTCTTGAAAATCCCTAAACAGTGCAATTATCTTTTTAACAATTCGCAGCCTAAAGGACACGCCTCACAACAGCAATTGTTAATAAAACACAAAACAGAACAATAAATGGAAATCAATTGTTGCCCAAATACAACAACGTACACGTAGTTAAAAATAACGTTCTTTCACACAGTGCATATTTTCTTCGGGTTTTCTTTTCTAATTAGTTACAGTTAGACACAATTCAGTAGCTACATGTATAAACAGTTTAAAAAAATACAAAATTTCATGATCAATTTTTGCTTCTTAAAATTCATATTTAAGTCACCCATTAAGTTGCTGACACAGTAGTTTCTTCATTGAGATTCCACTTCAAATTAGGTAAAAAAATAAATGCAGTGCAAATGTACATGTATTGTGCAAAACTGACCAACATCTGTTTAAAATGTACATCTTGTTGATTTTTTTAAAATGTAAACACTCGTGCTAATTAATTTGCCTACTGTGAGCTGATGTCATCAGGACAGCTGATATAAAGAAGACTATATTTTAATGTTAATGTTGAAAGGGCTTCATTCACAGATAATGAAAACAGTAATTGGTATTTCATGTGCAATCATCAGCAAAATAATCCTAAATCTTTTTGCCATTAGAGGCTGAATTTAAATAAAGTTAAAGTTTGTACATTTCACTTGTAAACATCCCCCTCGCTGCACTGTATCAACACATGGTCACTTTTTTTTCTGGTCTGGTCCATTTTAGTTTTGACACTCCGTTTCCTTTCGCTCCGTGACCGTTTACCTGAGGTCTGACCTGGTTTCCTCACAGACAGGTCAGTCAGCAGAGCCTGGGTCTGAGACGGCAGCTGGAATAGAGGCAGTCCCTGAAGAACCTCAGGGAGGTTTCTTCTGTCGTTCACAGGGCAAGAGTCAAACTTCACTAGAAGAAAATGTTCTGCCGCCCGGCCACGCTGTCTGTCTGCCTGAAGGATGCTGAGGGAGGCTGTGAACACATCGGAGTAAGGAGACAACATCTGAGCGTCATCCCTGTCCTCTCTCTTTGGAGCCACCTCCTCGCACCGATGGGCCCATTCCTCTATTTTCTCCAAGCCATTTGGAGTCAAAACGATCACAACGCGATTGTCGTATTGCTTCCTGTTCAGCATCTGGGAGTGTAACCACGGCACGGGTCCCAGACTGGACTGCTCAGTCCTGCTCCACTGGTCCACCGCTACATCGAAACCTTGTGTACGCAGCAGAGAACCCAGACGACAGACCGACTTCAGCACGGCGTCGTTTGTATCCGGAGGGCTCAGCAGAAGCACGTGAGCTTTCCTGCCAACTTTAAGAGGAAAAAAAAAGAAATAAAAACAAGTTGAGAAGAAGAAACAGACTGATTTATCAATTAAAATACAAAAAATTAGGCTGAACAGTTACTCACTTTTCACAAATCCACCATGATGACAGCTCCACACCCAGTCTGTCGATGGTGAAGTTACAAACAAACATTATACAAAGAAAATGAAAACAGTGATGACTTGTGTTCAAAATAAAATAAAATAAAAAATAGGGAAATGAGACATTAATTTTCTCATATATATATATATATAAAGGAAAATGGGGAGATGGGGAGAAGAAAAAGAAGGGAAAAAAAACAACTAACCTTTGATAAAGTCGTGGCATATAAACAACAGCAGCATCGTCAGTGAAATGACTATAATCACACTGACGAGCAGCAGAGTCCAGCGGTGCCTGTCGGCTGCAACAGTCACAAAGTAGACATTTTTTTAAATACATTTTTTAATTCAAATATATTTTATCATATGTTTTGTCATGTGAGTGAATGGAAACTTACTGTTTTTAAAACAGAATGGACCGAGCTGCTGCTCCATTCCCTCGATTTTCACCTGCACAGTTTAATAAACGTCCATTGATTTAAAAAAAAAAAAAACTCAGTCATTTCTATTGTTGTGACTCACAGTTCCACAGATTATACTTTACCATGACACAAGGTGAAAGTTGGAGGTCAATGTCTTCAAAAACACCTACAGTTTCCTGAGGAGGACATACAGTACGTTTAGGTTTCTTTGAATTCTGTTTATAAAAAAGCGACGAAATGAAACTAAAAAATAAAAACAACTCGAAGGGTTTCTTCAAAGAGTTTTTTTTTTACCCAGAGTCCTTTTGTGTTCAAACTCCACGCCCCATTTCTCAGCTGTTGTCTGAAGCCTTTAATCTCTTTGCAGCTGTTCTCCTTGTGACAAGGCCACACTTCACCCTTCAGCCTGCAGGGGGCGGAAAGGTTCCACAGCAGCCTGGTGGAATAGTCGTTTGTTTGACCTTGGCGAACAGTCACGGACACATTTTCCCACACTGCTCTTTGGGAGAAATCTAAACAGAGGTGAAAAACATGCCAGTGGTTAATAAATAACTACTAAAAAAAAAAAAAAAATCTTCTTGGACAAGAGAACGTAGTGTCTCTCACCTGTGTTTGTGAAGGGACATACTTTGGAGCGTACAGTCTTTTCGTGGTACCACGCCTTATAGAAAGACAAACATGTCAATCATAACAGGACACAGCAGTGTATGTAGTATTGACCGATACACAGGTATTCAAAAAGTACCATGAAACACATGCAGGAGGCCACGGAGTAGAGTGGAACGGTTCTGCTGTTCAGCTTCTACGGAGAGAATTAGCGCTGTTAGCACTGTTTACAGCTGTCAAAACAAAGCTAATTAATTTGTGAAATCAATCAGTTTAAAAGTTTAAAAGTCACCGTCCATTGTTCCGTCATCAGATCTAAATTCCACCAACTCTATGAAGCCAAACCTTCAGTTTCACTTTTGCATTTTTTCTTGACAGTTTTTCCTTATCAATATTTTCCATCATCCATGCAAAGACAATTATATTATTCTATTGATTATCCATTGTTGTGTCTGATCGTTACGCTGTGATTAGTCAGTTTTAAAAATGTAGTCGTTTGACAGTCCCAGAAATATTATCATGGTATTTTGTAGATTTAAATTGTGTTGGAGCTGTGACGTGTGAATCTCTTTGCGGATGACACCCTGGTTATACTAACCTGACATGTTCCGTTCTCCTCATATTGAACACACACAGACGTGAGTGTGTCGTTGCTGTCGTTGCCGTCGTCGAACAGCAACTCCACGAAATCTCTCCCAGTTTCAATCCTGAGCGTTGGCACTTCGGTGTTGAACAAAAAAACATTGACCAGTTAATGTCACGGACACGAAGGCAGAAGTCTGACTGTGACGAATGAGTGTTTGTTTCTCATACCATGACATTCCTCTACGCACTTCTTCACCTCCAGGAAACACACTGTGGGTGGCGGAGAGACGTCACTGATTCATCCATAAATTCTTCAGATTGTTGAATAAATCACAGAAAGATCAAATCTCACCTTTGTCCAGAGAGGGAACGTAAACATCCTGCTTCAAATTTTTGAAGTCAGGGACATAAAAGAAAACTCTGCTGCCGAAAGAAACTCCAGATGGTCGCGCGATCACCATGGATATCTAGACCACAAGGTGGCGCAAGGTGAGCTTTGTAGTTATTTGTTGATGTATCATAAGACTCCGGGTTCAAAGTATTGACTGTACCTTCGCCGGGTGTTCCATGTGGTTGACTGTAAACTCCACCTTCTTGCATGCGAGCAGTGTGGACGGTGTCTTGTAACACACCGTCACCGAGGCTGTGGCGGCAGAACCAAAAGGTAAACACAGACTACAGAGCTGGGATTCACTCTTTAAACACCAACTGTTACATTTTATATGATCGTAAATTAAAGTAACATTTACCTGTTGTTACTACTTAATCTTCTACTTTTGACGCTTGTTTTAATTGTAGCCAATAAATGTAACAAGTACTCTTAAGCCACTCCTATGTTTTGCACATGATCATATCACATCACTGTCTCCACCATCAGCAAACATTGATCCGCTTCACGCACCAGCGACAGCAGTTCAGTTCAGTGTTGTGTGTGAAGGATGAGTGAGAACCAGGAGCTCTGGAAACCAGGTGACGTTTCAGAGACTCGTTATTTTTTCTCTACTTTTTTCCTGTTGTGTCTGTAATTCAACAAAAAACTATAACTAACTACATAAAATAATTATATATATATGTTTATATATTTATATATTGCATCGATCAGTGGGAGATAAGCAGAAAAATACTCAAACAAAATACTTTAACAACTGATTAGAACTGGTCTGTCCAGTAGATCAGTCTACGGTGACGGAGCAGAGGGACTGCTGGGAAATGGTGAGCACTAACTAAAAAAATGCTAACCAAAACAAGTAACCAGACAGATATCCTTTACTTAGCCGTACGGCTACATGCATTTAATAAAAATTAAAAATAATTTTAAAAAACTAGATATAATTTATAACTGAAGGATAGTCGGTTTTCATAAGTACGTAAACACTGAATGTTTTCAGTGACGACGTGTCATTTTTGACCTTTTCAGAAACTTTATTTCAACTCGTGGTGGAAGTCGAAGACTCCGTTCTCACCTTCATCCTCGTCAGGCTCAGAACTGCCCTCATACGCCAGGTCGCTGGTGTGGAATCGGAGCTCGACGTCTACGACCAGACACACGGAGCAGGACCGGCTGTTCTCGGAGCAGAGTTTGACGTGAGGTCTCAGGTCTGTGACGTTCACGCCGTCGTTCGCTGCCAGCAGCGCTATCTCATCCTTCATGGTGCATTCAGAGAGACTCTGAGAAAAAAAAAAAGGAGGGACACATGTTGACTTGGCATTGAAAGGTCTGTCAAGGGATCGCAAACAGTTAGTGTCATGTGACACACACACACACACACACTGACTGACTGTTATTCAAATCCTGCCTGGGATTTTATCACAGTTTGGAGATAAATCAGTTCCAGGGGAAATGAAACGTCTGCTGTGTCTGTAAAATGCTGCGGCACAGGAAATGTCTTCTTCACTTGACCCGAGACGCGGCGTGACTCGTACCTGTGGGCAGATGACGTCATCGCTCTCAGGTCCAAAGATCTCCAAGCCGCTGCAAGAGGAGACGTGCAGGGTGTAAAGTAAAATCCACCCGAGGAGGCGTCCACGGAGGATCATGTTGGGAGGGGTCGGGGCTCGGGGGTGGCGGGTGTTATTTTTTTTCCCACCGGTGATTCCAGATTCCCACGCCCAGT